TTTTAGGAGTTTGTAGTTTACGTCAGTATAGGATATCCAGATATTAGACCGCAAGTGAGTTACACAGCTGAATCAAAGAATAAGGACTGAAGAAGTCCCTGGTGGTTTTATTTATGAAACCTAACATTTTGCACGCTTTAAGAGAGGTATAATTGATGGGAAGTCGAAGGATGAGAAATAAATTGTTATTTCTGTTATTCCTACAGAATTTAATTTAGAAACTAAGATAGAATGACAAACGCTTTCAAAAGCTTTGGCAATCAATGTAAATGGAGTCTAGTTGATGTAAAGATTTCAAAGAGGGCGCAATGCCATTGTTATAGAGTAATAGGTTTGAGATGGTCAAGCTACCAATGAATGACAAATCCGTGTTGTTGATCAGTTATTATATGCAGGAATTTTTGGACAAGGTAATTGCCAACTAAAGAATCTAACAGTTTAGAAAGAAAGCTAAGGATTGAAATTGGTCTGTAATTGAATGTCACCTTTTTTGTGGATTGACATGACAAAGGCAAGTTTACACAGACTAGGAAAAATACCATCTCTTCCGGATTTGTTGAACAGATGTAGGACGACATCTTTGAGGTTAGATCAGCATTTGTAGAAGAAATATTGAAGGATATTGTCAGGGCCAGAATTAATACTAGTATCACATTTTTTAAAATTCTGATAGTCTGATGAGATTTTTTAAAACCACTAGTAAAGTAAAAAAATTAATCAACCATATTCTGGCCATCAGTAAGCACTTTATACAAAAAATGCATCACAGTAGGAAGCTTGTGACAAGAATTTGTGTGAGAATTTATGAAGTGCCGAAAGTGTTAGGGGTTGTTACATAAATCACTATCAATCTTGTGGATGTACTCTTTGTAGAGTCTCCTAGATAATCGAACACACTGTGCTCGAAGTTTTTTGAATTTGATTAGATCTGGAAAAGAATTGAACATTTTCTAGTTACAATGGGCAAATAGCAATAATTAACTCGGTGAGTCCCTCGGTGAACCAAACTCGGTATTGCGTATGATTTGAACCAAAAGACAGTTGATATCAAAAAGGGTCATGTTTGTTAAGTCATAATTACTTTCGAAAAACTTTTTTCTTCTGGATCTAGAAGTATCACCGGACAAATCGCAGCTTAAGGAACACTCAAAGAGGGAAGCACAGTGATGGGAGTCAACATGTTGATATTGGTTTCAATATGTTTGAATTTTGAAACTGAAGCTAAAAACAAATGAAGTGTGTAAGGTTTATCCAAATGGGTTGGAAATAATTGAAGGAGACCTAAAAAGGATGTAGTTTGTTTTAAGGAGAGAGCATTCGATTTTACATCGGCTTATGCTTCTGGACCAAGAAAAGATTCAAAATTCCAATAAATATGTGGAAGATTGGAATCACCACAGATAATAATGTTTGCAGGATCGTAGTTAACTGAGTGCTTATCTATTAATAAAAATTCATTGAATAGTGAAGTAGTGGAAGATGAAGGTTAATATAGACCACACATTAATATCTAATGAATTTGAAAGAGATTTCAATAAAAATGGATTTTGAACATAATATAAAATTTATTTGTAAAAGAGCAATTCATTTTTTTGAAATAACACCTGAATTTTTCATTATTCCGAAGCAAGCTAAATGCATGAAGTCTAATTAAAACATGTTAACCATATCACAGTTATTTAAATTTAAGAGAGGTGATATTCCTGTATGATGGCCAGGATTTTGTTGTCTATAGAATGTTCGATGTTGTATGAATTTTAAAATTTTATTATTTATGGAAATACCTTCAGCGTGTAGTTTAATTATGTAGTAACAAATTGTTGTAAATATTGATTTAATCGTTTGGTTTAGAATTTCCAGCATATATTGCTCCCGGAAAAGGTCTATATGAAATATATATATATATATATATGATGAAGCTTACATAAAGTGGGCCAGAATTGTTTAGAAGACGATTTAATTACATAATGGAATTCTACATTAAATATTAACTCTAATTTTAAGCTGGAATTTCAATTGAGATTGTATTCCAAAATAAACAAATTCTGTTGAACCGGGTAATAATTGAATTTTATAAACAGTACTTAGACGTTGTTTTTAAAAATGTTTTTGCTGTTCATGGAAGCTGGCGAAATGCTCGTTTTCTTAAAATTAATAACAGACTATCAATTAATTAATTCGAAGTGGTCTGTATTCTGTCGAAACTGCCAGACGCGGATCGCGATTTCGATCTTTTTGGATCTCATCAGCGCGTCGCAGGCAGCTCCCACAGAACACAGACCAACTTTTACCTGCTGTCTTAACAGTACGTTTTAGAATACTACAAATGGCGCAGTAACCGCCATCTATAGCACGATGCTACATTTTAGGATTACGTATTTTTCAACAAGGTCCAGTTGTGTGGATATCTACTTGCTGAAAACGAATCCCGGCGTAGCCAACCTCAACGTGATGGGCACGTTAGCTTAATCGAATAAAATAATTCGAAGTGGTTTGTATTCTGTCGAAACTGCCAGACGCGGATCACGATTTCAATCTTTTTGGATCTCATCAGCGCGTCGCAGGCAGCTCCGTGCTACAGATGGCGGTTACTGCGCCATTTGTAGTATTTTCTAAAACGTACTGTTAAGACAGCAGGTAAAAGTTGGTCTGTGTTCTGTCGGAGCTGCCTGCGATGCGCTGATGAGATCCAAAAAGATCGAAATCGCGATCCGCGTCTGGCAGTTTCGACAGAATACAGACCACTTCGAATTATTTTATTCGATTAAGCTAACGTGCCTATCACGTTGAGGTTGGCTACGCCGGGATTCGTTTTCAGCAAGTAGATTATCCACACAAGTGGACCTTGTTGAAAAATACGTAATCCTAAAATGTAGCATCGTGCTACAGATGGCGGTTACTGCGCCATTTGTAGTATTTTCTAAAACTATCAATTTTTTGTGTTAAGCTTGAGTTGCCCATTGTCGAAGTTGTTTGACATCATTTTCATTACTTTCTTCGTCAATAGCTGATGTATCATCATATTTTTGAATGGTTTCATATTCTGAATCGCTGAACAAGTTTGGATCAGATTCATCGGTTGATTCTCCTCTATCTTCAAATACTTTCATCTTGTATTGATGATTGATTCATAATTTAGCTGCTCTGCATTAATATCAAAATGCGATCTTTCATTATCACTTCTTTCAGTTTAAAAGTATACAATTGTTGTTCATTTTCTTCACCAGCATCTAGAACTTGATTTTTGATTATCATAATCTTCATGGCGTGATGTTTCTAAATTTAAATCAATTCGTTGACGTTTATGCTAATGGTTAGCAATTGAGATGACACACGTTTCCGTTTTTTTTGAATCTTCATCCATAATTATAAATAAATTTAATTCTTTAGAAGTGATTACTTCACAACACACAGCACAGCATTGAACTATTACTTCATTGAGACCTGCACTTTACTTTCGTGTTCTTAGTTTAGAAGTCTCCATGAAACTTCATCAGGTAATAAGAAATATTTAAAAGACATGAAAAGACTTAACAGAATTTAGACTGAATCCATTTAGTTGCTTAATGTTTTATATTTAATTAACTTAAAAAAATATTAAAAAATGTGTGGAAATACAAACATTTGCCACAGAAAAAAATTGAAGTTAGATTAATGCACTATTATAACATTAATAACACAAAAGTAATAGGTATATTATTAGTTACAACCTTGATAATAAATTTATTGTTCAGTAAAGAATGTGACATACAGAATAGATCAGATAAAAAACTTAATTCTGTATTATGATTTACCCCATGATACAATTCTGACTCAAACAGTACTGGAACCGTAATAAAATTTTTAATATTTGATTCTGATATGGAACTGATCAGGTGACTGAATCAAAGGATAGAGTACTGTACATTGATCAATTTCTGATCAGGTAACCGCATTAAGGGATGGAGTACTGTACTTTAATTAATTTCTGATCAGATGATCAGATCAAGGGATGAAGTACACTGTACTTTGATCCGTTTCTGATTAGATAACCGGATCAAGGGATGGAGTGTAGTACTCTGATCCGTTTCTGATCAAATGGCCGTATTAAGAACAATCTGATTTGTATCATAATTCGGGTTCTCTGAACTAATATCCAGTCGGATTATTGAAGTTATTTATTTGATAATGGTGGAAATTAACGTATACCTCTTTCTTGAAATTTTAATGATTCTGGTATACTTCATTTACTTTCTCCAGCGATGTGTCTCTTCTAATGTCTTGGATGCGCGCTGGCAAAATCGTAGGTAGGGAGAAAAAAGCTCATTATACTCTCGACTCTTGTTCATTAAACATACTTTTTCATACAGTACCTGCCAAAAGTTTTGTTCAATCATGTATAGTAGTGCGATTCGAAAACAAGCGTTAAAGCCTTTAATATGTCTTCAAATATAAATAAACATCTCGTTGATATTTTCAGTAGTAAATGGTACCAATAACAATGCATTTGAGTATTGCAATTGTAGTGGATAAAATGGTCAATTTTTCCGTGCAGTACTGTATGGATTATACGCTCTTCACCGGTTAAGAGTTTGGCCGAGAGTTGTCTCCTTTCTTTTCTGGTCTAGTGCTGTTCTTTTCTCCTTTGCGCCGGTTAAACTGAAGGTCACATCGCTACAGAAAGTAAACGAAGTATACTATTCATTATGCTGATCGAGCGTATATACATATGTATATGTTGGACAACGATATAAACAACGTCTTCACACGTACTTTTTCAGCTATAAAAATTAAAAACTACCACGACATGTTATCAATATCTCGAAAATCGTTCAGGTAGCGAATAGTATAACACTAAAATTTCAAGAAAATTTGAGAGATCTCCATTATTACTGTTTGTTTTTTGTACTACGTTTTTATTTTTAACTTGTTAGGCTTTGACCGTGAGCGACTAATATGCTTAATATATAAAAATACTTTATTCATGACACTGTTTGTAATATATTCTATTTACTTTATAGGTTTACAAAACCACAGACGTTCGCTGATTGCATAGGTAATGAGCTACCTTTGGGATGGGAAGAGGCATACGACAGTCACGTTGGACCTTATTATATAAATCATATTAATCGTAAGTTAACAAAAGTTATCTTGATTATTTTCAAAATACTGCAATACTGTTCTGTTGTAATTTTTTTTAATTAGCCGTTTCAATTATTAACTGTAAAATAATGCATAAATAGAGGTAAATCGTCCAGTTTAGGATTGCCAATTTATTTTGTGATAAGGAATTTTTTTTATAATTATTTTGTACCTAACCGTATACTGTACAAAAAAAATTGAATGTTTTAATCAAAAATTGGGAATTTACTTTTACAAGGGATAATATCCAAAAAAAAAAAAAAATACGTACGTATTCATTTTGTCTTTTTAGGCATTTTACTGAAAAATCAAGTCGATTTTGGTGATTGATTTAGGTGCAGTGCCTCCTATTTTCGTGTAGTTTTAGTATATTGTAGAGTTCAACCTAAGGAAACCATTTCCGTTTTCGAGGTTTGAAAATATAGATAAGTAAAACAACTAAGTCCAAGTTATAATTAACTAAATCATCATCAATTGTGACCCAAAAAGAAAACAATTACCCCTATTTTAAGTATATATGCAGGGTGTAACAGAAATAAGTGTCGAGCTTTGGCGAATGTAAACTAGATTCATTAAACAATCGTACGGTGAGTTCAGCAGCGTTGTGAAGGGCAATTTTTTTAAAACAAAAAATCAACAATTTACAATCCGAAGCCAGTCCTGTGCGTGAATTGGCAACATAAATGTTTAATATGAGTAGTGTATTGCGATACGAACTGCAGCTACATCGAAGCAGAAATAAACATTGCCGATTATTAAACATTTAAGATAAACAAACAATTTAGTACAACATGTAATGTTTGAATTAATTAAATTAAATAGGTACGCTACAGACAGCACTACGTAAATGTACGAGTACACAAAAAAAAAACAATGTAAGTTACGTAAACATAAGTCGACAAATGAGCATCATCTGGTTAATTGTAATTTTATTAAAGCTTAGTTCCACACCGCTATTGTGGTATTGCGAAGGTGCGTTAACTTTTTGAGGGTGAAAACTTTAGCGCCTTTTATAAAAGCACTAATAATTTTAGTACCAAAAGGAACGTAACACAAAACAAAACACAACACAAATGAAGAATATATACAAAAGTTTAATAAGACTGAACAACACTCAAAAACAACATAAGAACAACAACAAATAATAACAATTTAAAACACTTACGAATTATCAAGAGGTAGACTGGTTACTGGACACTGGTTAATAAGTAGGAAATTTGAAGGGTATTTATACAACAGGATTGTTAGTAAATAGAGGGAGAACATTCTAGAAGGAAAAGTATTAACAGAACATGTACAGACTAGTTGAGATTGAATAGAATAGAATTCGAAGAAAAAGTAAGCGAGGGAAAGCCAGCTATTAATAAGGGTTGTTAAATAGGTATCGAAGACGATGAAATTCTAGGTAAAGATAGCGATAGCGAAACAATAGAATTTAGTTTGAAAAGAAACAAAGGCATGCACAAGATAAGAAGCGAAAGGTTTACAATATTTACACATGTACAAAAATATGAAAAATTAATATACAAAAATATATATACAAAATTGTACGTATTCTATTTTTTGTATTCGCCACAAAACGGTTTTTGAAAACGCGAAGGATATGCGAATTTGAGTCGGACAGATAGTGATTACTTATTCAAAATTCCGTCTCCAGTGAAGCAAGGTTTGTAAACACCCTATAGAAAAAATTGGATTATACTTCATTTTCGAAACCACCAGCACAAGTTCATTTTCGGGTGAAAATCAGTTTCAAACAAGGCTTTCACTCGCTGCAAGTGACAAGGATGCAGCAACTATTTCTTTAAAATCTGAGACACTGGGAGGAACCAACGTTCTCTGCTATTTCGCGTATACTATTTTGGGGGATTGTCTTTGAAATTGAGAATTATGTCCCTACAACAGTCATATGGTTCAAACCCTTAAGTAAATACGTATCATGTCGTTATTGTAACAACAAATATTCTACAGTGACTGACCTACACTAATAATAATGTTATATTGCTGAATTAGTTTACTGAACTGCACAAGATTTAAACATTAAAAGAATAAACTGCTACTAATGGTTGGCTGTTAACATAAACACCCTGAATCACACTTAATCCAATTTAACAAATAAACAATAAGTAAGTAAAAAAATACAAAACAAATACTACACTGATGTTAGTAATCACCAGCTGATTGAGTGCAGCATTGCGTTTTTCTTGAAAACTGTAAACATTTGGACATATAAACATTTACTTAATATTTATATTTTGTTACCTTTTGCAAGCTTTATACTTATTTCCATTACATCCTGTATAAACATGTTTTAAAACTATACAGGGTGTCCCATTTATAATAATTAAAAAAAAAACATGGCTTCGTGTCACAAAATACAACAAAAAAGTAATATACAATTTTTCAATCCAATGACAATTGAGCTCGCAAATCGTCTTTGTAAATTTGAACGTAGAATATGTTTCATTACGGGCCTGGATCTAGGCGACTAACGTCGCTCAGCTGATCTAGTGTGGATGTAACAAGTACCTACCAGGAAGAAGCCGAATGCACTTCCACCTTGTAAAAAAAAGGTAAAAGTGAAAAAGAAAAGCGTACCTTTTATAAAAAATGTTTAAATTGTCCGCCATTCGCTTCAATGCAACACTGACAGCGACGTACCCAGTTGCTGCGAATTTTGGCCCAGATACCGGGAATATTTCGAATTATCCGATAGGCATTGGTAATGTAACTCACCACCAACTGACGGTTGAATAAGAACCCTACTAGAATGCACTATCACACTACTAATTGTCCTTATTGTAATAGTCTTTTATGAAATGACCACTAAATAAATAAACTAACACTAACAAACAAGTAAATTCCACAACAATCCAAAGCGAACTGAACAACCTGTTAGAATCTACAACATTATGTGCCTTGTTTTCGAGTCACTTCCAGCAGTGTAATTATACGAGGTTATATCAATACTTAGCTTTTTACATTTAATGAAAACAAAATAACCAAAATTGGTCCTTCTGGACACACCCTTGTATTACCCCACGTGGGGTTAATGAGCCCTGCCAGGCAAAAGTAACGTTTAACACATGTGAATGGTCAAAGTAGGTCTGCATCTTGTCTCAACTTTTACAACCATAACACATACATTTGTTTTCGTACACTAGTACGTTATGTTACAAACCTTTACCAAACGCTGGGTGGTGAGGGTTGTTTGTGCACCGCTTCTAACTATTCCGTAGTTGTTAAAATTTCTTTTCTATTTAAAATAACATAATACTCGACGTCATGGGCTACATTAGGTCCACTTCAGTTTACGATCATGGGATTTTCGATTGTGATAGGTACATAGTTTTTCTAACGTGTTTCAGTCATCTAATGGACCTTAACGCGAGTGCATTTTCTTCGGCTGATCCGTAACTTAATACCAAACATAAACAATAACATCACCCCAAAAAGCAGCTGATTCCGACCTACTGAAGGTGAATTTTTCTACGATCAGCTGGCAATCGTAATTAATTTGCGATTGTGCAGGGCCGGCATCGAAACTGTTATAATTTTATAATTTTTTATTTTGTTTCAAAAGTCAAAAGTGTTATAACATTTTATGTTCCAAATGCCCGTAGGAATCTGTGGTATAAATATTAATTATTATAACTGGGACACCCTACCTATATATTTTTTGGAGTTTTCAATTTAGGATTCAAAATTCTAGGACACCACCGATTTAAAATTAGGATACATTTATTTTTAGTAGTGTGACTAAAACAAGAAAGATTCTTGATGTAGGTACTTAAGTTTAGTAATTTTTGTGTCAAATAAGTACTTACCTTATTCTACAATATCGTTGTCAAATTACAATTCGACTACAACTATTTTCCCTTTTGTAACAGTTTAGGGGTGAACATAAAAAAAGGCCCATCACAAATAAGCATGTATTTTAACGCCTGCTATTAGTGAATAATTGAGCTATATGAATCAGCTAGAAGAATAATATACTAAGACCATACATTTTGTGGTTTGAGTTACAAAAAAGTATGGCATACCATTCTGCTATAACAATTTCATCTAGTGAATAAGTTATAAAAATTCTATTCTAACATAAAAGTTGTATCATTGGATTAAAATTGTGTACTACAGAATAATAATATCTATATATCTATAAAACTATCCTGTAGCCACCTAATATTGTCATTGTTTTCATCTCTCGATTTTTATCTTGAATCAATATTGTTCAAGTTGCATGACCTCTGGGGCAAATAAATTTTTATCTATTTTGTCCTCAATCAAAGAGTTTTCTGCTATTCTCGTTGAACTGTTTTTGTCTTGGTGTATAAGAATCACTGATATTCGACTTGTTTGACTAAAGTTGCGTTTCTGTATCAGTGTTCCACGGTTCTTTCGAAAAGCCCCGAAGAACATAATGGTACACTCAAATATGTATACCTGTTCTCAACCTTTGTCTCTTCTAAACGATTTCTACTTGGTTTTTATTTTATTTTATTGGGATCCGTCAAATGGGCATACACCATCTGGTGGCAAAATTTATAACTGAAATGAGGTAAAAATTTACATAGGAACTGTGCACGCAAATTGTAAGATTGTTTATTAAAATAATAATACACGTTAAAAAGTAAACATTTTTTTGATGATGGAGTCGACGAAGTTTTCTTCTAAAGTTAAATCAAATAAAAAGTTAATATGTTCAGTGAAAAGCTGCAATAGCACTTCAGACATAGATCTTCACTCTTCACCTACATTAACTACTTTCCAATAAAAACTAACCGTTTTATATATGTAAAAAATATATTCGGAAAATTAGAGAAAAAAGTAAACTAATAGAAGCTTGGATGAAAGCAGTAGGTATCAAAGAAGTGAATTCCGGAATAAAAATTTGTTCACGTCATTTTAATGCACATGATTATATTTCAGCAAGTATTTACCATCAGCCATAACCTTAATATTTAAAACTAGAATCATACTAAAATTATAAAGTGAGAAATTATTTATTCCTGTGTAATTGATTTAACACAATTCTAATGATACGATATAAGTATTTTGAGGTTAAGAACCTACCTGCTGCAATACAACAAAGTTGCAATAATGTGTTTGCAACGTTCTCTTAAATCGGCTTTGCACGTGCAAGTCATTGATATGATATTGCTTAAATCACCCAGAATCACCTCACCAATTATATAACGTGAATCACTTTTTAAATCCGAAGTTTATAAAAAGTAGACAGTAAATTTGACGGAATTTGAAGGCTAGCTTCCGGATTAGTTATTTCCGAATTTTATAATGTGATTGGCATTAAATAAAAACACGATCACCTTCAACGAAATTTCCGAGGCTTTGTGTCACAGCCCAATCATACATTGTGTCAATACTATATCGTAATTTAAAAAGTTGGAAATTGCATGGTACAGTATAGGAACTACAATAAATTTTCCCTAATCGGCGCCATGTTTTTAGGCTCCTCCCATTTGACGGATCCCTATTGTTACGGTTACTTTCTTATAGAAATTTGAAGTACACTTAATTAATCGTGTAGGTACTCATAACATTCGATATAGTTTTTCGCATAGTTTATAGAGGTGTTTTTGCGTTAATATGAAAATGTTGCTTCCCGTGAATCGTTCTTTACGGAACACATGCTGGCCATCCAACTGAGCGCCGGCCCTGTTATTTATTCATTCTTATAAAGTCGATGTACAGTTTTTGATCAGGGAGTTGATGAGCGTTATACCTCTGGAATTTGTCGGATCCGGAGAGTCTCTTGTTTTTTAAATATCATTGTTTTACTCCAGTCGTCTGTCACTTCCTTTTTTCATTACTTTATTAATAGAATGTTTAGACTACTTAACATTGTGGGTGGCAGATTTTTAAGTTCAATAAAATTCAGCCTTGTGGTACCATCGTTGCATTGTCGCATCCTTCTTCTTGTGTGGAGTAATTCTTTTCTAAAGTCGCTGCATTAACACTCAATTTGGTTTATTCTTTTGATTGTTCTGTTGTGATGGTTTAATTATCATAATGTCCATGTTCCCCTGATGTTATTTTAATTTTATTGATTGTCTGGTTGCTCATATTGTTCATCGAGAGTTCTGCAAAGTTGCTTGGGACTGTTAAAGTTAAAGCGTATTTTAATGCAACATTTTTTTCCAGATTAGGTAATTTCTTAGTCTACTCGTTTTTTTGTTCTTTGTTGTTTATTTTTCATCTTTGGATGTAGTTCGGGTGTGTTAATTTCTAGTATTGTGGATAGGTTTCTTCGTCTTCATTACATCAAATGATCTAAAAAGGTAAGTAACAGCAATACAAGATTATATACATAAAATGAGCACATTATTTTGTCAAAATAGACTTTTATATGATTAACACGTGGCTTAAAAAAAAAAACGCAAAAAGCACATTGTATTTTTTTGCGCAATTATGTAAAACGTGTGAATACCTATAGCAAAAGTTTAATACGATCAAAATAGGGGAATAACATACAGTAGTATAATTTAGATAGCAATAAAGTTTACTTAAAATTCCCCCAAAAATATAATATCGATGTAAAGCGGACTTGCCAATGATTGAAACAAAAGCAGTACACATAATTCATTCATTCTGAATATAATAATATGGCGTTCTGAATATGCAATAAATTCCTGCGCAAAATTACTAACGTGTTATTTAGTCCATGCAATATAGGTGGGTGAGTGGGAAAAATTATTCTGATTAAATTTTTTTTACGCAAGTTTGGAAGATTCTCCTGAATACAACGATATAGATTGCCAGCCGGTAACCTGGTCGGGTATTGTTTAAATCACGACTGTCTACACAAATGCTAAATTTTTTTTTTGCTAGGAGTAAATATTAGGAAGGAGTCAGACAGGGATGCATACTGTCATCGCTACTTTTTAATCTATACATCGAAGACGCGATCAACATCATTAAAGACAGTACAACTGTAGGAACAGATATACAGCGGCAAAAGATTAGTGTGGTTAGATTTGCAGATGATATAGCAGTATTAGCATCTAGCAAGAAGGAGTTAGAGATAGCTTTAAATAAAATGGATGCGGTACTGACAAAACAGTATTGTATGAAAATAAATAAAAGTAAAAAAAAGATTCTGCTATGCAAGGGACGAAAAAGTAGGGAAAGAGCGAATATAAAGATAGGAGACGAAAAATTGGAAGTGGGAGTTTAGTTGTAGTAGTTTAGAATTTTAGTTATTTAGGAAGTCAGATAAGTGAGGACGGAAAGAGTAGTAGGGATATAAAGCAGAGGATTGCGTTGAGGCGCCAATAAAAAAAGTCACTTCTTTGTTCGCGAACGGTTAATTTAGAAATTCGAAAAAGGTTGTTAAAGGTGTATGTTTGGAGCGCGGCGTTGTACGGGTTTGAAACATGGACAGTGGGCGCGACGGAAAAGGAAAGATTAGAAATGAAGAGGTATTAGAAAGAATAAGAGAACAGAGGACTCTATGGAAGTCAATAAAAAATAGGCAAGATAGGTTAGTAGGACACCTTCTCAGGCATGAAGGTCTAGTCAGAGACATATTAGAGGCAGAAACAGGAGTTAGGCGGAGTAGATTACTGTTCGCAAATAGTTAAGGACGTGGGTTGTTCTAGTTTTAGGGAAATGCGAAGTTTAGCTCGTGATAGGAAAGAGTGGAGGTACGTGTCCAACCAGTCTTAGGACTGACGACTCTATGATGATGATGTGTATATGAAACACATTTAAGAAACATTCAATACTAATTAACATTTAATAACCTTCAAACATTAGTGAGAAATTAATTTAGTTTCTACCCACTATAAATTATTACCAACCTTAAATTAATGAGGAAAAATTGTTGCTGCTGTCAACGAGTGATCAGAGCAGCACTAGTGCGTAAAGCAAGGACCTGGGTTCGATTCTCGGCTAGAATGTGACAGCAGTTACATTTCCTCGTGAATTTGTAGTGGCTGCAAGTTGAACTAATTGAAGAAAACCATGTGTTACAAACTGGTGTTTCTATCATGTAAATTCTTATTTTTTTAGTGCATTTAAGGAAAGAACCCTTAGAAAATAAAAATTAACGAATACTTTGTAGGCTGTCGGGCGATTTGCGCTTTTCACATCTACGTACTTTTTCAGCTATTACTAGCTTAGGAGTTCTGTGACGTTCATTTTTGTGCTACGAGAGCTTGGATAATGATGGAAGGACTTAATTAACGTTTTACATGGTCGGTTATAAAGAGGTAGTTTATATAAAGGGTGTTTATTAAACAAACACCAAAATTCTTTGTGTTATTCTTAGAAATATTAAAACCCTTGATGAATTTTGTAAAGCCACTTTGCTTCGAAGATACATGGCGATAAATTTTATTACCTAAACATTTCAGTAAATTAGTTTAATACGTTATATATAAATAGTGCAACTTCAGTTACATTCATGATTAACAAATATCAACATTGGTTTTTTCGAATAAAATGTATGGCCCTGCACTTTCGAAAAAGAAAAAAAAACGGCTTTCTAAAAAAAATTGCTGATCCACTGAGACTAGTTCTATTACTCATTTCACTTGCCCAGTCTGAAATCGGACAATTCACCGCTATTTATTAATGTGTTTTCGTGTATAATAATTGCATTTGTTGATTGGCTCTTCTTATTATTCTTGCTTTTCTAAGAGTCCACACAATTAGAGGATCCGCGACAGGAATGGCGGGCAGTGCAAGAAGCAATGTTGAGGGAATACCTTCAAACTGCACAAGACGTATTAGAGGTATTTCATCATTTAAGCTATAACTATGGTGTTAAAAATGTAACATTATTTTTCAGGCAAAAAAAGACATCTACAACATAAAATCGCAACGGCTTGTTTTGGCTCAGGACGAATACGAACATTTGAACAACGCCCTCGCCACATTAAATGCATCTAGAACAAGTCGTACGTATAAATTAAACACGTTAATAAAACTTATTATGTACAGCCTCCTTTAAACATAGTTTATTTTATCTACAACTTCCATTTTCTCATCAATCTTCAATATTCAACTTAGGGTTCCTTCACAAATAATGAAGTTGTGCGACCATCCTAAACACATTCAAAAACTTAATTGTATAATTCTCAAACCCTAATTTAATGTTTATATATGTATTCTACATTATTATGTCACTGATCTTTGATGTATACTGAAATTTATTTTCTCTTATTTTACCATAAATAATTCTTAAAAACAAATTAAAAGAAAAAAAGCATGAAACTACCCTATTTATCTTCTCTTCTTTACATTTCATCTTACTTAAAGCTTTTACCTTTCTTTTTCCAATCTTTGAAATTCATCTCAATACTTTCCTGTATTCTCACTGTTCAGTTCTAGTCTATTTTTTCTAATACCCTTACCATATCTTTTAATGCTTCGAAATTTGTCGTTATTATTGTTGGCTTATTGTTATTTATTCATATTGCCCCTGCCGTTTACCTATAAATTTCGTCGATTCTGCTTATTAATCCTATTTTTCCGTAGCGTACTTAATATATCCTTTTTGTCAGCGGAATCGTACTTCATTTTTAAGTTAACAAACATTACGGTGACCTTTTTTTTTCTATGTGAGATTGTATTATATTTATTAATATAATTATTACATCAATCGTACCTCGTCCTGTGCGGTTCCCCTCAAACTGTATTTTGTCATATGATGTTCGAGTCTATTTTTTATTATCTCCGTTTATATCGTATATCCTGTACTCCTCTTAGTAACTGTTTCTGCATCTAATATTTCTCTGACTCGCCCTTCAATATTTTTCGAATTTCTCAATTAACCGTTCACGAGCATAGAAGTGACTTCTTTTTATTGAAGGCGACTCGATCCTGCGCTATCCTCTATTTTATATCTCTACTACTCCTTCCGTCCTGGCTTATCTGACTTCTTAGATACCTAAAATCAGCCCCTTCTTTTAATTTTTCGTCTCCTATCTTTATATTCTCTCTTTCCCTACTTTTTCTTCCTTTGCATACCAGTATCATATGCAAATCTAAGCATAGTAATCTTTTGCCCCGGTATATCTATCCCTACAGTTGTACTGACTTTAATGATGTTGGTTGATCGCTTCTTCGATATATAGATTACAAAGTAGCGGGGAGAGTATTCATCCCTGTCTGATCCCCTTCCTAATATTTACTTCTTTACGTTGCCGCTCAAATTTTAAAACTGCCTGTTGCTCTTTATACAAACCAAGTACATATCACTCTTCTATTTCTCTATCTCATCCCTACATTTTTAAGTATATGTAACATCTTGCCCCATTTAACATTGTCAAAAGCTTTTTCTGAATCTACGAAACCCATCTTATAACTTCTTTCATTTCTATCTTTTCCACATTTGTCTCGTTTCCATTTCTATCAAATTCCATATAGTTTGTCTTCATCCTTTCGTTTGTCTTTCCTAAAACGTTTTTAGAAAGATTGCAGTATTCCGGTTCACTTACTACATATTCTTATTCGTATTCCTTTTTTATACTTATTTTTAATTTTCAATCTACTTTTTTCTATTTGCTTAATATAATCATTCCTTTTTTCTTCAACTTCCTCATCACATCTGTTTCACCTTCATTTTCGCAACGCTATTTTGTGTTCTTTCCCATTTTCCCAATGATCCTCCATTTCACTATTTCTCACTGTCTCCACCTACCCTGACTTACTTTTTTATCAAACATTCATTCATTATCTCTTCCATTTTTATTCAACTATTAAGTCCTTTCATCACCTCTGTATTGATATTTCCCCACTCACATTTTTCCATTTCACTTTTAACGAATATGGTTTTGACCCTATTATTCTATTCTTTCAATTAATGCTTCGTGCCTTTTCGTTTCTTTTTCTTTTGATAAACAATGCAGTTCTTGGTTTTTTTCCAGTATACATCTCCGTTATTTTTGCATTTGTTCATTTTTTATTCGTATGATTCTCTATTATTCTTTTTGCATTTGCTTCTCTCTAACCAACTCTTTCGTTTTATTTTTCGCATCACTATCTGTCAATAATTTTTTTTATTCGTTTGTTTCATTAGTTTGCTCCTCTTCGAGTAACGTTAGTACAAAGTATGATCCTGATCTTCTTAAATCCGAAGTTGCTGGGGCTAAAAGCAGAGTATCTAGAATTAAAATAGAATTGGAACAAATTCAAAATGAAATGAAATGCACGCAAAAAGGAGTAGAAGCTTTAACAATGTAAGTTCACTTTAAATTTAAAATCGACTTAGTAATTGATTAACGTAGAATATAAAGAATTTAGTTGTTTTCTACTATTAATAGAAGTATACTGTTTTTTTTAAAGGAATTAAGTACTAATTACTAAATTGTAATTTATTTCAAAATTCATTGCTAAGCAAATAATTGTACGTTCTTTCTTATGTACTTATGTAGTGACTGTCGTGACTGACTATTGGCTGCTATGTCATTTGTTCATTAATTGTTGTGATTAATACAATGCGAAAAGGGATTTTAAATATCATTGAAATACATGCCTAATAAAATAATAGTATTTTTTGTTTAATATTAAATAAGTAAGCAGAACATGTTGTTGACTGAGACTTAGCGTAGCTGTTCATTAATTTCTTTGCTTTTAAAATTGGACTAGAATTACATATAACTTGGATGGTTATTAATGATAATAATTGGAAACGAAAGTACTAAATGATTTTTATTGATTATGTAATATTAAACTTAATTTTACTTACTTTGTAGGGTCGAACAAAAAATTACTTCTCATAGTGGAGGCGGTTATAACATTGGGGAAGCCCAAGCAATTATACAGGAACTTCGAAACATTCAAGTTTCTCTCCAGTCGGGTGAAAAAGAAAAGGTGGAATTGATGCAGTCTCTTGCAAAGCTTAAGGACGACTTAACACGTTTACAATTACGTGAAAATGATTCTTCAGCGGACGCTTCATCTCTTGATATTTTTCAATATAAATTGAGTACTGCATCTCAAACAGATTTATCTTGTGGCGATGGAACAGTCCCTGTTGGTACAAAACTTGCTGAAATGGCTAAGATTAGATTAAAATACGACGAGTCGCGTAAAAAAGTACAAAATATACAAAAAAAATTAGCCGATTTAGAAGAAAAAATACAACCTGGAGAGTTAGAATCAGATAAAGACAGATTACTTCTTTTCCAAGAAAAGGAACAGCTTTTAAGAGAATTAAGGAGTATAACACCCAGAATGAGGTCAAGGAAAGAAATGTGTGATATACAGGCAGAATGTCAAAAATTAGAACAGGACCTTCATAATGCTCTCGAAGTATCAAATAGGACTATTTCTGATAGGCTACGGCTTCATGAAGAGAAACAATTTCTTCTCCAACAGCTCAGAGATGCCCTTAAACAGATGACTCAGTTGGAATCACAATTAAAAACTCTTTCAGCAAGTACACTTTCAGTAAGTAGTAGCTCCAGTTTAGGTTCTCTTTCAACAACCAGCAGCAAAGGATCTCTTAGTTCTGGATTAAGTTTCACTGATATCTACGGAGGTCCAAAGACGTCAGTAGCATCTGAGAAAGCTATTGATATGGTTGATCTACAAAAAAGAGTGGCGAGATTATTAAAAATCAATAACGACCCGGTATCTATTTGTACTCCATCACCAAGTCGGTCGCAACCGTCTCTATCTCCAAGAAGTTCATTATCGTCTGTGTCTCCTCCCATGTCTCCAATGTATGAAAACATACATTGTCTGTTACCGCCACCATCTTATGAGCAAACCGAGAAGGAACGTAAACAGAAGCATCAAAATGATGAAGAAGAATCCATTATTAATCGGTCCGACAGTTATGTAAATATTGACGGGAGCGAATCGAGAGATTCCTCTCAGAGGTTGCCTGTATATACAGATCTATTTGACACAAACAACGTTTTAAATCAGGAATTTGATTTTAATCGAATTTGCCGTTATTCGTCATACAATGACAACAATACAACTGATATTTTGTCTCCAATATCGGAAACACCTCCGCCACCACAGATTTTCAATGAGGAGGAGGTTCTACTGCATGTGTCAGAATTATCAAGAACGTCATCCTCGTGCACGAATACCACACGATCGGTTTCAGCTGCAGTTAGTGACGAATCTGTTGCAGGGGACTCAGGCGTTTTTGAAGCGTCAAACAGAAAAAAGTCGTTGGGAACATCAAACACTGGATTGTCCGATCGTCGTCAATCAAACACTACGGTGGATGATGTACAGGAAACTACTCAAGTTCTTGTCAAACTTGTATATGTATTCTCAAAAAATGTCTTAAATATTTGCTTAGGCAAAGCAAAATATTTAAATGTTCTTGGAGTACCAGATGAAGGACAAATGTAAGTATATTTGGACTAGTTAAAATGTATTTTGTAAAACCTAAACCATTACTGTCAATTTAAATGCGATACAGAAATGCTTAATGAATTTTGTCTGTTCATTGTTTTAAGAAAGAAATATAGAAGGTATACCTTTACTTATATATTTTACAATATAATAACTTAACTTTCTATTTTAATGAAATTAATTTTACTGGTTTTTATGAAGAAATGGGAAATTTATCATTTCAGATACATGAAAATAGCACTTTTACCTCCTGCACCGGAAAATACACAAATTCGTGTCACAAAAATTGTCAAATGCTCTTCTGCTGCTGCAATATTTGATGATTGTTTCGATTTTGACATTGCTCTTAGTAAGTTGTACGCTAAAACTTTGCAAATCAGCATTTGGTGCAAAAATGAAACATCTCCAGATTTGTGTTATGTAAGTTGTTATATTTATAATTTGTATAATATTACTTTTATCAAATTGTGTGTGTGTTTGTGTGAGAGTGTGTGTCTGTGTTTTAAATTCAAATTTAGTTCTTTAAAATCTTCACATATTTACTAAGAAATTATTTAATACAAGTGCATATGTATTTTTTCATTTAGGGTTACACACAAATAAGTTTAGCTGACTTTAATCCACAATACTTATCGCAACGATGGTATAACATCCTCAGTTTAACATGTCTAATGATGGAATCGAAACTACTAACAAAGCAACACAATGGTACAGAAAATTCATATGTAAATATTTCCCGCCTTTGTGCAACTAAAGAGGAAAGTTCAGACGATTCTACCGTTATTTCATCTCAAACGTCAACTTTGACCCGGAATCAGGAATTAAAACATATTAATGTAACCCCTAAGTTAGATTTCCAAGAGTTGGTTAACTGTCTTGAAAATACCCCTGGTTATACTAGTGAAGATTCTGATAGTGATAAAAACGACGACATAGAAGAGGAAGAGGACATAGAAGATATATGTTTAAATGACAAGTTGGATATAGTCATTGAAGATTTAGTTGCTGAGTGCCAAATGGAAGATAAGCAAACAAATACCGAATGTACATTTTACCCCGAACATTTAAAACAAATTAAGCTAATGAATCAAAGTTCTAATTTTAATGACGAACAATTGGGTGCCATTCGAAGATCGCAAACATTTTCACCAAGTGTAGCTGTTTCAAAAAGACACTATAGTTGCAAATTAAATCGAAGTGACAGTGATAGTGCGATGCCATTATATCGGAAAGGATCAAATCCCTTCCAGCGAAATTCCGTTGAAAGACGTTCGTTGCGTTTCAGAAAACAGTCAGGTTCATTGTTAGCTTTATCCAAAAGTAAATCAAACAACCATGTACCTCCTCCTGTTCGGACATCTCTTGATTTGGAACTTGATCTTCAAGCACAGCATACTAAATTAGACAATCTTAATAGTGAATTACAAGTGTTAAGGGACTTGCGGGATAGATTAGAAGTAGCGAAGGAAAATGGCGATGCGAACACAGTCACTAGGCTTATGGAAGATACAGGGTTTCAGAATTTGATGGCTCAGGCTGAAGACTATCGAAAGGGTAAAACGCCAGAAGAAAAAAGGATTGAGAAAATGTTAAGAAAAATATCCAGAGAAATTTACAGACTGAGGAAAAGTAAAGCTGGGAATGGAAAACCGGATATGATATCATTCAAGTGAGTATTACTACTTATGAAAAGAATTATTTTTAGTTTATTATAAAATTTTAATCTACGATATTTGTCTTGATTTCAAAATAATTATCTGAAAGCTTCAATGTGTTATAGCTTAATTTACTCGTATAGTACCCAGTAATAAATTAAATAGGTGCTATAACTGCAAGCAAAAAATCTATAAAAAAACAACCAATGTTGAACGCGACGTCATACTCATAACTACCGTTGCTGTATTTATTTATTTTGAGAACAAGTAAAAAAAGTTCAGAGTAAAAAAAAAATATGAGTATGTGAGTCCGAAGGTATTGATTCTGTATTACAAACATATGGAGGTCATGTGTTCCACCATTACAATAACTTATGAATGCCCTGTCCATGGAGTGACTGAAAAATTAGGGAAAGTGGTGTTGCTTGTGTATTTCCTCGTGTGTATCAAAATACGTGAACATATATTTAATAATTGTAATTATTTAAATATGGGGTATGAGTGAGATGGGGATCTTATCAAATCTTACCGAGGGTAGGGAAAGGTCCAAATGAAAAAAGAAACGGAGAATAATATTTTTTTGAAAGTGTATTTCAGAAGAATTAAGAATTTTTTAAAATATTGCAACCGAAAACATAACATTTAGGAATTTTGTATGAATTATGATCACCAGGCAATTACTATTAAAACTATAACATGATTACGATGAATTGAAATGCAGCAACCACGAAAAATTTTGATATTTACTTTTTATATTATTTCACTGTCATATCATTTGATATTTTTCGATTTATGTTTTCCAGAAGTGAAAAGTAATTCATAATCGAGTATTTTTTCCTGTATAATTATATTTACCATTTATGATTTGACAGAATTATTGTAGTAATGTTCCTAAATATATTTTGCCATTCTCATAAAATTGATAGAAACGATATAATTATAAAAAAAAGGTTTATTGTTTTAGGTAAAAGTGTAGTTTACGACACCCTCCTAAAGTTGGCTTTAAATATTGCAATGCTGCTAACATGAATACATACAAACAGCATATCTGTCAGTAGAGAATGTTCATCATTTTGCGGGGCCGAATTCAGAGATGATGTCGTACACTGCACATCACACGATTGAAATTAAAATATAAAAATGTAAAGAGTGTCTCACGGTGACCACCCATTAGAATATTTCGGAAACTGCTTCGATTTAAAATTTGAAAATAGCGACATTGGGTACGCTCTTCTCAATGAAAATAACGGCTTCTATGTCGGAAGTTGACATCAACTTCGTTATTTCAAATGGAACACCCTGTTTGTTACGTCTCTTGAATTCTACTTACGATGTAATATAAGCACTCATAAGACTTCCCTACTTCTATATTTTATCGTTTTCGAGATATATTTTTTTTTTTTTGAAATTAGCACATAGGTAGGTAGTGAAAAAGCATGCCTATTTTATAGTAAGAAATCTGGGGCAACAATATTCTCAGCAGAGATAGCTTGAAGATATAAGCTTTCCGTGCATATTTTCAAAGTGGGTTAATTGCATTCAGGGTGTTAGATATTTAACGCCGGATTTGGATAACTTCAAGCAATCATAAGTCCATTTTTTTCAAATTGAACACCCTGTATACATTTCCATAGCCTTATGCAAAATTTTATTCTCTTTCGAATGGTACTATGGTACAGTTGTTCGAAGTTATGATTGCTTGAAGTTAAATAAATCCGGCATTAAATATCTAACAATCCACATACAGTTAACTCACTTTAAAAATATGGATGGGAAGCTTGAGGATATACCTAGCTCTTATTGCTCCAGATTTCTTATAAAAAAGAAAATATCTCGAAAACGATCAATTTTAGAAATAGGGAAGCCTTATGAAAGCCTTCCTAAAATTATCAGTAGAATTCAAAACCGTCATAATATACAGGGTGTTCTATTGAAATAAAGAAGTTGATGTCAAGTGCTACATATATATATGCCGTTATTTCAATAGAAGAGTATACACAACAACGCTCATCATTATACGGTCGTTAGTTCTAAGACTGGTTGGACATGCAACTCAACTCTATCCTATCCTGAGCTAATCTTCGCGATTCTCTAAAACTAGAATATCCCACATCCTTAATTATTTGTGAACAGTAATCTAATCTATTTTTACTCCAATTAACTCCTGTTTCTGCTTCTAATATGTATGACTAGCCCTTCATGCCTGAGAAGGTGTTCTATCAACCTATCTCGCCTATTCCTTATTGACTTCCATAGAGTCTGCTGTTCTCCTATTCTTTCTAGTACCTCTTCATTTCTAACCCTCTCAATCCACGGTATATTCGTCATTCGCCTGTAACGCTTCTAACCTTTTCTTTTCCGCTGCGACCTCCTTCCATGTTTCGCACCTGTACATCGCCGCGCTCCTGACATACATCTTTAACAATCTTTTTCGAATTTCTAAATTAACTTTTCGCGAGGATAGAAGTGACTTCTTTTTATTGTAGGCGACTCGACCCTATGCTATTATTTGTTTAATATCTTTACTGCTCCTTCAATCTTGAGTTATCTGACTTCTCAAATACCGAAAATTAGCCACTTGTAATTTTTCATCTCCTATCTTTATTTTCGCCCTTTATCTACTTATTCTTCCCTTGCGTACCGGTATTTTTGTTTTACTTTTATTTATTTTCATACAATACTGTTTTGTCAATACCACTTCCATTTTATTTAAAGCTCTCTATAACTCTTTTTTAGTAGATGCTAATACTTGCTATTCATCTGTATACTAATCTTTTACCCCTATATACCTTTCCCTACAGTTGTCTTCTCTTGAAAGATGTTGTTTGCGTCTTCGATGTGTAGGTTAGAAAGTAGCGATGACAGTGTGCATCCTTGTCTGACTCCCTTCCTAATATTTACTTCTATACATTGCTACTCAAGCTCTCTAATCGCCAGTTGTTTTTGATACAAACTAAGTGCCACTCTTTTATCTCTGTATCTCATCCTTACATTTTTAAGTATATTTAACATCTTGTCTTATTTAACACTGTTAAAGGTTTTTCCAAATCAACGAATCCTACGTATGTAGTTTTTCTCTTTTCTATCGTTTTCTCTATCGTTACTTGATATCTATATCTGCTCCTGGATAACTCCTACAGTCCTTCACATTGTTTAATCTTTGCCTAACAAGTATGTAATCTAAAACATACCTTCCTAAATCACTTGTCATCTTCTGCTTATAGCGCCTTCTAACGAGATGGTTAAATAAAGCATTCACTATTTATTTTCCCTATCATGTATATTGCTTAATACAAAAGAACCTCTTATTGCACCTTCTTTACCTTCACCTATTACTCTGTCGAAGTCTTCTATAATAGGGATGATGACAGTAACCAAGAATCACTAAAATTATGATGTAAATTAATAATATAGAACTAAAGTATTCTAAAAAACAATATTTGTTTTTTATTACAACTGCGCTTAAGTTAATTTTAGTAAAAATAAAAGTACAAAACCTGACTATCTGCCATATTAGATCAAACGCCAATAGGAGGCGCGTGACGTCACGCTTTCGTAAACATTCTAACGTTCTGTTTAACGGTCGAACTTGTTAGCTTGTTTTGCTTATTTAGATATTATTTGCTCTGTGGCGAAATAACTCTTATTGTTTTTTTTGTATGTAGATAAATGTTTTTTCTAGTTTTTCTATTTCAAATATTTCATTTCAAATAATATTTCATTCCAAATATTATTTCACTTCAAATATTATTTCAATTCTTTTCAATTTCTTATATTATAAATACTTTGGTTTCCTTTCAATCTAAACTCTATTGTTCTCTCAATCACTTTTACCCAGAATTCCAACTTCAGCTATACCTGCATGCGCTCCCATACTAATATGTATCTGGTTTTACTCTTAATTGCTTTCTCTTTAATTCTATACTGTCTAATTCTATGTATTCCTATAAACTAGTGTCTTCACCCTCTCTCTAACTACTTTTCCTTCTAGAACTTTCTATCAAATTTACGAACAACCCTGTCCTATAAATACTCCAAAAATTCTTATCTATACACAGTTCTCGTCTACCGCCTCTACTACCATTCGTAAGTGCTTCTGTATTCTATTGTTATTCGCTACATTGTTTTCATTTTTGTTGTTATCTTTGTTATTGTTACTGTTTTGTTATCTTGCTCTTTTTGTCACTTTGTTCTTATATGTCTGTTGCATTTTTCCTGTGCCTTTTTGTTACTTGTGTTTTCGTTGTTATTGTTATAAATTGTTATTTGTTATTAGTGTTTTCTTGGTACTTAAATAATTTAACACCAAAAGACACTAAAGCTCCATTTATCTGATTTTTGATAGTTAAAAATTAGTATTGTGTTATTATAAGAGTGCGAAAAAGAAAAGTTAGCTATGGAACAAGGATTTATCAAGGCAAATAGCTCAAATTTGCCAAGGATCGACTTGTTGATGTTGGGAGGTTCACAGAAATAAATTACAGAATTTGAAGATATAGCTGCTTGGTCTCGCCTTGCAAGATTAAGCCACGTATTTCTCACTTTTTTTTTCATTGGAACGTTAATGAACAACTTATTCGGAGTTTTTATCGATGTATTATTACATTGAGGAACCGCACACCATCGATACACATCAGAATTCATGATAACTATCGCTCAAAATAATTAATTTAATGTATCTCAATGCATGTAAACATGCAACGTGTCAACTGTTTACGAAACGGTGACGTCACACATAGACGCCATTACTATTCTATCGTTTTGGCGTAAAGTTTAAATCGTATTCTTTAAAACGCTAATTTTTCCTTAAAAACCTGAATTCTTTTCGGAAATAAAATTTATTTTGTATAAAACAGGCACCTACAAACATCGTGGAGTAGTTTTTGAAAATCAGTCATCATCCCTATTATAATTATTAGTTTTTCCTGTCTTTTCTCTAAACTTAACACGTCTTCTCTATCGGCATATACCGCTTCTACGTCTTCATCATTGTAAGATGATGTAGGCATATAGACCTGCACCTAATTGTAGACCTACTTTAACCATAACTATCCTATCACTTTTTTGAAAATAACTTTCTACACTCTGTTCTGCTTTCCTATGCATTACAATTCTTACTCCCGAATTACCTTCCACCGATTCTGTATGTATTATTGTCTCCACTCCAAAAGTCTTTAGTTTAATGCCTACTATATCTAATTTTAGTCTATTCATCTCAACTTTCAAATTTTCTAACTTCCCTACTTGCCTAATTGTCCTTACATTCCGACTCGAGACATATTGTACATTTTCTCTACTGCACTTGATTACATCCTCCGAGGCAGTCCCCGCCCGGATATCCGAGAAAACTAGTTTACGTCTGGAGTGCTCTTTACCCTAGAGAACGTAATCATTCCAGTTAGTAATTAGTGGAATAACGCTATTGCACAAACTTTCAAATTTTAAATCGAAGTAGTTTCCGAAGTGTTCTAGTGGAGGGTCACCGTCAGGCAACCTGTATATTGGTTTATTTATGAAAATTGATCTTAACAACTGAATTTTTCAGTCTAGATTTTTTTTCATCAATTTTCTTCTGTTATTGTAAACGAAATATTACACAGTATAATTTTGTATACTATAATCCTTAAAAAAAAACAACTAAAAAGAACAATATCACTTCCATAAATAACTGTCACGTAATTTAGGGTTAACCGAATAAATCAAAATATAGTTGTGGTTACACCATTCTGTACGTGTAGCCAATATAAACTATTCCCCGTACAGCCTCGGCCCTCTAGTTTATGGACGGCGTTAAAAGTCACAAGTCTTCGTAGCATTTACGCAAACGCGAAATAATTTTTCCGTTGTCTATTGATGTTTTCCTTTCGACCTTTTTAAAGAAAAAGGAACGAAATATATTATCATATTATACATCATAATAGTTGTACATATACGATAGTTCTTTATANATATGATTCAACATTTGTTGCAAAGGATTGGGAAACCCCAACAAAAAACTATATAATTATTATACCTTCGAAAGTAGTTTCAAATAATATGTTACAAGGCATGTGACCAGTAGGGTGGTCGGCAATCAGTTTTGAATAAAATCAAAAGAATTTACGTTTCTTAACAGTTATGTTGTCAAAGAATTCAAAAACCCAAAAGTGGTGTGTTGGTACAAAGTCCGACTTAGCCATACCGTGCACCAACAAGTTGGGAAAGCTACACTGCTGCTTATTCATCTTGATCAGGGAGTAAAGAAATCGTGCGAGACGGGACTGCAACTGTGATTATGGCCACACCTCCTGTAGTATTGGTAGTACATGCCATAGACATATATTAATGGACGTGCCTTAGCCGTATGTCGTTGTAATAATTTCTTGGCTCGAAAAGTGAGGGAGATGGGGTATGGTTTCGGACTAGTGCTATCTCTTTATTGTCCGAAACTTCAATAAAACGCTTATTTTAAACAAATCTATAATAGAAAATACATATACCGCTAATAATTAATCATCTTCATATTAAGCAACACCCAAAATAACTACTTATGCTGTCTTCTTCAACTAGAAATAGAAATGTTTAATATATTATTTGTTTTCCATTTTCTGTCTAGAAAAAACGAATGTTTAGTTAATTTTGGACTAGATTACATACTGTGCTATTTTTTCTTTGATGGGAAATATTCTTGTTTAACCATTTTACGGTTTCTGGAATTCCTTTGGTTGTGCACTGTTTCTATTAGTATTTCAAACTCCTTTAATGATACTTGAAAAGCTTCACCATCCAGTTCATTCATTGCAGTTGCCATTGCTATCTTTAATTGCGTTTCATGGTCTTGATGCACTTCACTATTCTTATTCTTCTTTGTAATATGTTGTAATTGTGGATTCGCGTTCTTGTAATAAATTGGTGACATCGTCTAATAGAGAGTCACCGCCTCTCGCTTTTTTATACAAACATTCCAAATGTAGATACTTACATATGGTAGTTTGCACTGTATACTGCCGTCTACAAATTTGGCGAACCCTACAGCACAATATCTTGTATTCTCTTTCACACAACTCATTATAACATACATATATTTTCTGAAGATGAGCTTAAATTAAATATACCAAAACCCACCTTAGTTACAGCACTTTTATCCATTTTTACTGCAAGTTAGTGAGCTTTCAGTACAACTTTATCCTGATACGTATTTGCATTGGGTCTTTCTGTATTCAATATTATTTGCCACATTTTTTCTGTTGTTATTATTTACAGTAAATATAAGGTTTTGCTTTAAAACTCATATTAATTTTGTATGATCTTGACGTCACTCGAAAGGGCCTGATCGTATGGATTCGAACCTGGCCTGGTTGCTCTGCCTTTTTCCTGCTTTAATCTGCTATGGTTTTCCTGATTTATCTATCTCTAATCTTAACTACTTCTTGACTTTTCGTTCGAATGCTATAAGAAGCTTAACATAGAAAATGTGTAGGTCAGCGGGACAGCCCGTCCACCAGTAGTAGCTGTTGCTGACTAAGAACATTTTCTTTGTTTTTTGTTTTTTTTTCTAAGTGAGGTGTAATTTTATTTACTTTAAGTAAATTTATTCTGTTGTTTTATGTACATTTATTTGCAAAAGGAATTTCTAACATTTGATGTTTCTATTTTAGAGAAAAAATGGCGTTTTTCACTAAAACGAATCCTGATGTACTTGTATTATCTACAGAAGAACCTCCGATTTTGCCTAAAGAGAATAATGATTCTAACGCAGAGAATTTTTCTGTGAGGATAGGTAATGATACAGAAACCGGAAATTCAAAAGATAATATTGAAGAAGAGGAGCAGCGATATAGTTATGTAGTAGATCGAATATTGGGAGTGGAAGTGTAACTAATCAACTGTTCTCGTTCCATTGTCATTAACTGTTTCGTTACTACTACTACTACTGCTGCTGTGCTGTGTTGCAGCGTGACGTAATATAAACATTAGAGAGTTCTCAGTTAATACAAAACAAGCCGATTATTCTATTTGTCGGAAGTTTTAAACAAATGTCCTGCATGACCAGGCAGAGAAAAAATTATGTACGAATGGAAAATGCAAATTTCCATAAATCCAAGTTTTATTTTAATGTTAACGACTATCCCAAAATTTTTCTTTCTTTTATGGTTATCTCCAGTCAACAAATTATTAATTTGAATTTGCATGATTATTTCATTGAAATTTTAATCATATAATCATATCTGTTAGTATTTATCTACAAATATAGTTGGAGTATATAACCTAAGACCGGTACTAATCGTAAATAGGCACTATGTAAATCTTATTTTACTTTGCATCATAACCCATAAGTTACAGTAAAAATTTGGTATTTGTTTTAATAATTTTGGATGTAAGCCAACTAATAACAAAATTACCCAGCATGAATTATTATCCAATAGTAAACAGTTTTTATAGATGACAATGAATAAAAAGCTGCTTTATCCAAAACTACACTGCTGTGTATACTACAGATTTCGATCTTTACATAATGTACGGAAAATTTCATAATTTTTATTAATAATGCTTGATATTCATGCACTGTAATATGCCACTCATTCCTGCCAAAATATGGTATTCTTACTAGACAAATCGTATTTTTGTTTTTTATAAACTTGCAATTCGTTTAAATAAATACAAAAATAACCCAGTACAAATACATTCACAGAGTAAGAAGGATTGTTCGTTTTGCTATTGATAATTAAAAAGAGACATACAGGCACGTAGGAACGAACGGTAGGGATATGTAAAGCCCATATTAAACAAAATTAAGAGTGAGGAAATACTTCGTTTTGTTATTTGTTTATTTATGTGATACACGAGTATTTCTTACATTTTTCTTATGGGAAGTTTAGAATGTGATGTAATATTTCCATTAATTTTTAACAATCGATGCGTTCTACTCAGTTGGTATATACTTAAGGAATTAAAACATACTTTTTCAAGAAGAATTTTATTTATGTAAGTAGCTATAAACTTTTTATAAAACACAAACTGTTTTATTAGTTTTATCTTTTAGAATTACTTCAGTTCTGGCTATGTGCTCATTGCTACAATTTACAGTTAAAACAGGTGTGCCATATTGCAATTTGTTTTTCTTTAGTTTTGTCACAAACAATACATGCCTTTTGCTCTTACGGTCTGTACTTTCTTTGGTTATGTATTTCGAATATCAATTTTTTGAACATTATGGGGATTTAACGTAATTTATTTTTCTGTAGTAAATATTCGTAACTTGTTTAAGTAAAAATTGAATGATTTCAAAATAATCAATTATAAATAATGTTTATATCGATTTGTGATTCAAACGTAAAAATGTAGTTGCTAGCTTCGACATGAACATATACCTTGTTGATCCGTATATATATATTTTAATATCCAATGTTGCCTTAATTTTTGGATATATTAGTCATCTGGTTTATTTTCCTTTGGCTGTTAACAAAGGTGATATGCAGAATCATGTAAAATGTTTAATCGACATGAAATTGACTCTTTGATATTATATGCATTATTAAATTCACGTGAATTTTTAGAAGATAAAAAATTATTTGTATACACCTATAGTCTATAAAATTATCATGATCTTAAAGGATCGTAATGTGTATTATGTGATGTTTAAATTTTTGATTTGTTCCTCTATTTTGTGAAGGATATTTTAAGCAAAATTTAGTGGTATCTCATTTTTTTACCTTTATATCGTTTTCCACCCACACTAGATTTCAGGATGCACTGTTATTGCAATTTTAGTATAATTTTATTTATCTTATTTTTTCAGTTGGCTCCATTATAAAACAAGCATGTTTGTTAAATAAAAATAAATTTTGGATAAGCTGCTAGTTTGCTTCCAAATTTACATTCGTTTTGACGTTTGTAAGTTAATTATTTTGGAATGGGATTACAGTAATTGATAAATAAAAATTTTTATTTGTAAATTATCAGAATAGTTATTCCTGAAATTTTTACGATCTGAAATTAGTTTTAATAATGTTTATGCAACCTCTGTTCCGTCCTAATCTATCACTAGATACATAGTAATTAAGGATTTGAATATCAAATATTAGCAACATTATGTAAATGAGGTTGAGAGTGTTGGTAATTTAGTTACTGTCTGTTCAGAAAGTTTAAGAGTATTTACAGCGGATGTGAATTTTACTTGACGCATTGTCTTTAAGGCAAAGGTGATATATACATATATATGTTGGTACTTGTATGGCCGGATGCAGTGTTTAATTGGTTATTCTTGGTATATCGCAATGCGGTAATTTACTTTTCCATAAGCCTTACTTGTGTTATGTAGAATTAATTATGTAGTACAATTTATATCTTGTTACCTACCATTGTGCCTGCAATTTAGAAAAAAGAAATTCTTCAGTTATCAAAACATTTGTTTTATGCCTTTTTGGTCTACTTTTACTATAAGGCAGTTTATATTTATTTGACATAAGATCTTTTTGGCATATGTATATATGGGTAAAAGTTTTTGTAAATATACATTATTAAAAATCAACAATATAGAAAATAGCAACTCTTACAAAACTGATAAATGTATATTGAAATTATTATTTTGTTAAGAAAAATAAAACGTACAATTTATTATCAGCTATATTAGCTATGGATCATCTTCTAATTTGTTATATCGTATACTGAAGCCGTAATTTTAAAAAATTAGGTTGTTACTACTATGATTAAAATTAACAAGATTTGGAAGATGTTATGTACTATATGTAAATAAGTATAACAGTTAATTGTTAAATGTATGAATACGATTCTAAAATTATAAAATGGGTATGATTTTTTAATGAATGTTATTAAAAAATATTTTTAACGAATTGTTCTAATAAAACGAGTTCTGTATTATGTACATATACGTAGAAGTTTTATAACAGTTATATTTATTTTCGATGATTAAAAGATTTTTTCTTTTTTATGTATTATTTATTTGTACAATAGGTAAAATAATTTTTGTAATAATTTCTTTATATAGAAGTTAGATATTAACTAATAAAAAATTATAAGTTGGAAATTCCGAAAGGATTGTTATTCAATGTTCATTCACTTTAAGCAGCAAACAACCAATAATTTAAACTATGTTATTAATAAAAAAAATATGAATTAGTACAATTACAAATAGGTATGTCTGTTTTTTAAAGTAGAGATATTAGAGGAACAGCATTCTGAAATTTTCAAAAATATTTAGTAAGAACACTTGCGTACTGTAGCATTATTACAAGTTTCGTTTATATTATGGTTTTCATTGCATTTTCCAGATATTGCAAATTAATATAGGATGCTTAATTGTAATGTTTTTGGCTGCAGTAATATGTTAAAAAGTGCTGAGATAACAAAAAAACTACTTGTAAGAAAGGACATTTTCTGATCAATAGGAAATTATTTGGAAAAGGTGGTAGATATTATAAAGCGACTTTTCCATGGCTATAACAATAATTAAAAGAATAATTTTTGTTGCTCACTCTTTCAGCTGAAAAATGTTTTATTTTTCCTAAATTATATTCTACCACAGCCGTCTCTAGTACAAGCCGTGCTGAGAAATTTGGCAACAGCGCATTGCTTCACTATGAGAGTCCTACTCTGTGAG